GCAAGGATGCACATTTGGTCGAGCGTACCGGTGCAATACGGGGACCGGTAGCTGCTGCAGGTACGCGTGCCGAGAAGGAGACCGCCGCTTACTTTGAAGGTAAGCTTAGGTTCCCTGGCGGAATAGCATCATACCGGTAGAGCAGAGGCCCGCGGATGCTGTAGATCAGCGCCAAAAACCCGCCGCGTGGGAGGATTTCAACGGGAGCATCCGTATACGCATTAACCGGATGCGCGGTGCTTGTTCTTATTCTGTTCATCGCACCATGACCGACGCGCTAAAGGCCAAGCCGCGGATCCAGTGGGACGAGGAGACGATCGCGCTCCATGATCTGGACCGCGGGACACGCATGAAGATCAACGAGCCCAACACCCCGTACCACTACTACGAGGCCGAGGAAGACCACGGCAGCGCGATCCCCGTCGCCATGACCGACGTCACGCTTGAGCTGCACAATGCGCACCCCGCGCACGCAGAGCCCTCCAAGCCGGCTTCGTTGGCGCCCATCTCGCCCGCGCGCAGCGCCTCGAACGGCTCGGAGCTCAAGTGGGACGAGCTCGAGACGAAGCTTAAGGTGCAGGAGAAGCGAAGCGAGTGGGACTCGGACTCTGACACGGGGTCGCCCAAGAAGAAGGACTTTTCCAAGAAGCGCAAGCAGCATTACAACGAGTACGAGATGATGAAGCAGTGGCGCCAGCAGCACCAGGATGATGCGAACGACGACGACGAAGACGCGTAGGTAGAAGAAGAAGCAGAGGCAACCATGCGAATACATGTTAAAAATGACTCCCAAACTTGGTCCGGCCCGACATGGTGCACTTGGGCGCCGTCTTAAAGTTGGAGAGGACTTGCGTGCCCACCGCAGCTTGCTGCTTGTAGGCGTTGGGGGCGGGACTCATTTCGTGGCTGCTGCGGGCACCGACGGGCGCCTTGGAGCGACCGACGATCGAGAACGAGTAGGCCGCTACACCAAGAGATCGACGCGTCCGTCCACGGCTCACGGAACAAGCAAGCCCATACCCGAGTTGTTTACTGTCGACACTACTTGGCGACCAACGGCGACGTTGCCCGTGTTGTACTGACCTAAGTAAAAACTAGGATTCTGGCGCGCTACCAGTCAGTACGAACCAGGGCCCACGTCGGCAGTGGACGACTCGGTGAGCGGCTTTCGGTTGACTTTCGAAAACGATGGCGCGGGCGCCGAGCGGTTCGTTGAGCGTACCTACACCCCAGTATGTTCTTGCCGACGCCACGTAAGAAACGACGTACGGCTTTGGTGCTAATGCTCTCGGGTGTGTCATATGCACCTGCATACAAGCGTGATGCAACCTATATATGTCGTCCTTCTAGTACCTGGGCCTGGTGACTTCTTGGTGGGCTCAGCCGGCGTAGTCCACTTTTTGCCGAGCGAGTAGTGGGGTGCGTTGGCCTCCTTCAGATTAACCACTTGGCTCGAGTAGTCGCCTACGCAGCACCATGTAGCATCAGCGCTGCATTAACATACTCGTCAACATACCAGGGCCAGGGCAGCTGGCCGCCAACTTGAGGTCGGAGACAGAGCCAAACTTTTCCCGGCCAGCGACCGAGCATGCTGGCGCCGTGCGCATCGTCGAGAGCACGGGCTTGCCGAGGGACGTTGGCACTTGATACGCGCCAGGTCCCTACAGGCCATACACGTGAGGCGCGATGGGCTAGAGCTGGCTTCTGACAGGGGACTTGGAGCCGTCGGAGCCTTGGCCGCGGCTGCTGCTGCCAAAGCACGTGGTTGGCGCCGTGCGCTTCCGCGAGTCGACTTGCTCGCCGCAGGACGATTTGATGTCATCGTAGGCCGTGTGCAGCGGCGCAGCGCCGACGCCCTTGTTGGGCGACTTGGACGGCGACCGCGGGCTCTTGGCGTCGGCCTTGGCAGGGCTGTTGGACATGCTAATCGCAAACTTGCCTTTTTCAGCACGGCCAGGACGCCAGCTAAAAATAGACTCCAAATGCGCAAACGACGCGGATTGGTGGAGAATTTAGAATCCGGATAGGCGTATCCGAACAAAGATCCACTTTTCAATTCGCGCGCGATGGCCGAGCTCGGGACGCTCCACAAGCAGCATGCGCGGGCCCGCGATGTCATCGGCGCCATGTACGAGCAGGAGGAAGATGACCATGAGACCTAAGTTACCGAGGTAGATGCGACCGCCTAGCAGCCAAGGAGACAGCGCTGGACGAAGCAGCCCGGGGCATGCAAGCGCTCCGCGACGAGATGACCCAGCGCAAGGAAGAATGGGCCATGGAGAAGGCAAACATGGCGCGCGCGCTGGAGGACATGCAAGAAGAGATGGTGGGGAAGGACCGGCGATACACCGAGCTCCATCGTGAATGGGTACGATGGACCTTAAGCCCAAGTTGACAATGACTTGTAATGGGCGTAGCATGCGGCGAGTGACCAAGTCGAAGCGCTCCAGCAAACCCTGCAAGAACGAGAAGCCTACGTAGCTAAGATATTCGCGGAACGGGTGCCATGCCGGCTATATGATCGGGTACGGTGCTACTGCCTTGCCTAGGAAGCGTCCACGACCATGACAGAAGACTCCGCAACGAAGCATGAGGCGGCCGTGCAAGGCTTCTCGCACCAAGAAACAACAGCCTTGGAGCAACTTGTACCATGATACTACTCGTCCTCGTCGTTGATATGGTGAATGACTCTGCAGGAGCAAGTGCGCATGACATCCAGGTATTTGGACACGTACACATCGGACTTGACAAAGGCCGTGAACCAACGTAAGCTACCTCCGTGAAAGAGCTTCGTGAAAAACCGATGTGTAGTGTCCAAGGAAGTCCAATCTCTGGAAGAGGTCCCTCGACATCAAGAATTGCTGTTGACCTTGTATACCTTGCTCAGAGCCAAGGGACATGCGAAGCCATGCTGCTCGCGCAGAAAAACAAGGCCGCGACCGATGCGACGCCGCCAAGCGCCCGGCAAGAGATGGTGGATGGTCTCTGCGACCAAGTCGGCCGGCTTCAAAGCCAGAACATCGAGTACGAGACCACAGTGAGCCGACTGGAAGAAGCGCTTGCGAAGGCGGCGGATGAGACCGCGACAGCGCAGACACAGCTTCTCGAGCTGGTAGCCACGCACCATAGAGTTTCGAGCAAATAGGTCACGTTTATGTTCATAGCGCGTGCAGCTTGGCGCGCAGGCCCAGCTCGTCGCCAAGTACGAAGCGTCGAGCTTGAGCGGCACCCAAGCCATGGACTCGCTTCAGAGCTCCATTGCACTGATTTGCGCAGAGTACGACGCCGAGCGCGGGGCTCTGTTGAAGCAAGTCGAGGAGCTCTCGATGGCGTCGATCACGGGTGAACACGCGAAGCTCGTCGAAATCGAAGAGATGCAGGCCAAGATCATGGATGCGGAGAACGCGCTTCGCGAGAAGGCGAAACACGTGGCCGAGCTCGAGGCGGCGCTTCACGCCAAGGACGAGATGGAAAAGCGCGTGACACAGCAGCAGCAACCTGCGGACGAAGCCACCCAGCGGACCCAAGCCCCATCAGCCATCGCCCCATGTGTTTCAGCATCTCTTGCTTCCAGTGGGGCGCTGTCGCCAGCGTTGACTGCAACCAGCACCGTCGCAGAGTTTCCCGTCGCAACCCAAACCGCAGCCGCGCGCGTGCCCGACGAGTGCCCAACGTGCCACGATGAACCGTTTGGTTTTATGGTGCGTTGCCAGCAGTGCAAGCAGCAGTTCCACGCAGGGTGCGTTCGCTCCAAGCGCCAAAAGACGTCGCGTGCCGGCGTTTACGTCTTTGTGTGTGACGCGTGCGCGCCAAGTGCGTCCGGACCGGCGACTACCACGTCAGCATAAAAAGATCGTGCACGCCATCCTTGCGCGAAAACTTTGGGCTTCTCATTGATCGTATGCGACTGCGGGCATCCATAACACAAGCCTAACACGGCGATTGCCAGTGCGCACACTGAAATGCTTGGAATATCAGCGGCGGCGCTACCGACGCCACCGCGACTTTACCCTTGGAAGATATACGGCTCTTCTACTGACCACGCCGTGCGCCAGCCTTGCTGCTTCTCGGCACCTGCTCGATACTGCTACTCTGGCCACGAACTCTGCTGGTTCTTCCATAGAAGCCGCGCAGTAGCCGCGGCGCCATGAATGGTGGCGACGCTAGCTCTCGGGTGCATCTTGGTACAGCGCCGCGGTGTTCATTGTCACGGTCTTCTTACGACGTGGCAAGAAATTCGCATTCGCCAGGGTCTCCCGTAATGTATCACTCACGCCTCAACACCCCATTACACGTGCGGTCACAAACACGCTTCGATCCGGATTCGGTCCGGATACGAAAGGGCAACCTGAACCGCGGCGTGTGATTGGGCCTTGCGTGTCATTGATTCAAGAAAACAAGACATTACTTGCGTACGGGCCAATCACAGCGCAGAGGCCGGGCTTTTGGGCCAATGAAACGCCGAGAAAGGGCGCTTGCTGTAACGCCGCCCGCAAAAAAAATGAGCGCCGAGCAACATTGTCACTCTTGGAACGACTATGATGCTCTCGGACATCCTTGGCGACTCTGGCCGCGCCGCCCCCCGCAAGGCGCCCGTGCACCTCGACATCGATGCCCCGTACCCGTCCTGGTCGACGCCGTCGCCGTCGTCCTCTGTTATCTCCACCGGCACGACCGAAGACTCGAGCTCCGGCGATGAATTCGTACACACGCGCCGGTTTGCACCCACGACGGCCGCCAAGGCCGCGACCAAGAAGACCAAGACGCGCACGAAAGCCGACGAGCAGTCCAACAAGGAATTTCGCCGCGAGTACAAGAAGGAGTGGTACGAGAAGAACCGCGAGAAGGCGCTCGCGAAAATGAAAGAGTACTACGAGCGCCGGAAGCAAGCCGGCACGCTCCACCGCCGCTCCAACAAGAAGAAGCCGACGCCGAGCGTCGAGTCGTCGCCGGCGTCGTCGTGCCAAGACGAGCCGATGACGATGTCGCCGAGCTCGAACGCGCACTGCGTGCCTGTGATGCCGCGCCAGTCGACGATGCCCGCTCTATTTATTCACGAAGACCCCCGGACACAGTACTCGTCGCCACCCGTCTCGGCGCTCCGCCCGCCGTCGCGTTTCGGCGTCTACGACCACGCGCCGCAGTTTCCGCCAATGTCGCACCACCACTACCACCAGCACCACCACGACACTCGTGCCTTCGAGTATACACCCTACCACCCCCAGCAGCCCCAGGCGCTCCACCAACACCAACATCATCCTATGCACCAGCAGCAGCCACACCCGCAGCAGCAGCATCACCACCACCAGCATCAGCAGCAGCAACAACAACCTCCGCAGTCCGACAGTCACTTGAACCTGTTATGCCACGTCGCGCTCATGGACTAGCTACACGTCTTGCATGTCATCAACAACCAAACTCTCTCACCAACTCTAGACGTCCGTCTCCTGGACATATAATTACGTAGCCGTATCATCAATTCTAATATGTTAATAAGCACCACCAAACTATTCTTCGAGCGAGTTCATGCCTGTTCATGGTGGCTGCCACGCGTTGCGCTCGGCATTGAAGCTTCGAGGCGCAGGTTTCCCTGGTCCGTCCCTAACGTTACAAACAAGTTGGGGCATCTCAAGTGGGTCCCGGCTTCAACATGCGCTTCCGTGCGATGCACCCAAGTCCGCCGCCGAGCGACGAGAGAATACATGAATCTTCATCTCGCCCGCACCGTCCTTGTCGCCTTCCCATAGACATCACGCACGCCTGTCTCGGCACTGGTAGCCAAGTGTTGTGCGTTGAGCGCCAAGTCCAATTCCACCAAGAAATGGCGCATGGCGGTCGTACACTGTAGATCGCTAGGCTGACGACACTTAGGTTTTGTCCAACTCGTCGCTGATTGGCTATGAGTGATTGAGAGACCCTTTTGATAATTGTCGTCCGGATCGCCAATCCCAAAGGCGCGGCGTCTGTTCAAGATCCAGTCCGGCGAGCTCGCGTCGCCAGCTGCGAGTTCCAATTCCGGTCGTTCGGCAACCATGGGCTGGCAAGCTCCGCCATACATACACTAGAGTACAGCCGTTCTCGACACAGCCATCATGCAGCTCTGGCGCGCCCTCGTCGTCGCCATCGCCGCCACCGACGCGGCCCGTGCGTGCCCGCCTGATCCTTCTCGCATACTCATGCTGCGCGTGCGTAGAATGCCCCGCCAACATGCAGCCCGTGAGCGTCTTGGGCCTCGCCGACGTCCAGTGCGTCGCGTCCACGCCGTGCTCTGGCATCTACGCCGCCGCCGGTGCGAGCCTATATGTCCTTCGACGAAATGACTCATGGCGCTCGTAGGCACGGCGGTTGGATCGTGCCCGGTGGGTTCCTACTGCAGCGTGTTTCCTGACAATGAGCTCGTCATGGTCATGCGCTGTGCGACCGACGGGTACCCGGGTGCCATCTCCCTCAACGCCGACGGCTCCATGCACCGCCCAACAACGTCCGTCCCCGGCACGACGCCACCCTCCACGGTGAGCCCAAGCATGACGCCATCGATCTCCACGCTGCCGCCAAGCTCGTCGACACCAAGCGCCACGTCGCTCTCGCCAAATGCAACGACGTTCTCGCCCAGCAGCAACCGCAGTTCGGCGCCTCCGCTGACCGAGCCAATCACTGTGACGCCCGAACCGTCGTCGATCGTCATTCCCGTGCAGCCAACGACGGCTCCGACTTCGGCCAACCAGTCGGCCGAGACGCCTCGCACCGACACGGCGTCCAGCAGCGGTCTTGGTGCATCGGCGGTCATCGGGATTTGCATTGGCGCCGTAGCGCTGGTGGCCATTGCGATTGGCGTCCGCGTCGTCCACGGGCAAAAGCAACCGGTGGCGGACACCGCGGTTGAGACCCAAGCCGAAGGGTATACGCTCACGCCTCGACGCCACGTCGTGTTGCTTTAAGCTGACGACGCTCTACAATGTACAGTGGTGGGATATAATCTAGTAGGCAGAGTATTTGTGGCGTGCGTCGTCGTCTACAAACTCGCATAGTTGGCCACGAGCTGGTCGAGCCGCAAAAAGCACGAGTCGAAAAACTCAGCATCGACGTTGTGCGCAGCGTACTGGTGGAGATACGCCTTGGACGCAAACATGCAGTGGGCCTTCTCGACCATCGTTGCGAGTGGGCGCAGCATCGCTTGGGAGTTCCTAGCACATCTCGTTGGCTGAAGCGCGTCCTCATGAAGGAGACGCGTACGAGACGAGCGCGGCCGCCTTGTCGTAGCGACTAAAGGGTTGCCGAGACGAGAAGAGGTGGCTGCTGGGGTGCACCCACGGCGCATACCTATCTACGAGTTCAGCTATCGCTAAGGGCGGCAGCGTACATGCGTGGATCTCCAAAGCTCTCGAGCACCGTCGCGGCCACGGTCGCGCTCTCGGGTCCGCGCAAGAAGACGAGGTTCCCGACACTTTGGTTCACTTCTCTCCGAGGCGACGTCTCTGCGCATAGCGTCGGTAGGAGGAAGTAGTACAAGTGTCCTGTACCAAGCGAGATGTCCCAGTTGACGCCTTCGTCGAGGCTGCAATTGGCGATTTGCATCTAGCGAGTGAGGGTGGTATCATCGTCGCACACGTCGGTGTGTACCTGGTGCAGGTGCTTGAGGATGCCCGACCACTGATGCGTGCTAAACTCGCGGGACCGTGTCGAGAGCTAGTGTCGGTCGTTTTGTATGTCATTTGAGACGGTCGAACCTGTGGCACGAGCTTGATGTCCAGGAGCTTGTAGCCCTAGAACCGTAATGCCGTTCACTCTGCTTACATGGACAAAGTTGCAACGCACGGGGTGGGCGCAGAGTTCGCGCAAGATCGTCGGCAGCAGACACGCCGATCGCGCCTAGTCGATACCTTGATATATTTTTTTCGAGCAAGGTATACGTCGACTGCTGCGGCAGGAAGCAAGACGGACGCAATGTGGTTGGCGAGCACGTGGTTCATCTGGTCGAGGGATGGCTTGGGGATCGTGAGCAGCTTCTGGCACGCGCGGTCCGCCATGTCGTTCTGCAGCAAGAGAATACCGTCCGACGACTAACGTTAGCAACGTCAGCGAGAGGGAGCTCAGCGTAGTACGACCTCGGAGAGGCAGGCCATCGTGAGCAGTGTGTTGTAGTTCTGCACGATGATCTCGCCGGCTTCGTAGGGCCAAATGACTGTGTGAAGGCGATGGGCCGTCGGAAACTGGTCGTGTAAAAGATCCGCGACGAACGAGCCAAGGCCCGAGCCCGTGCCGCCCGCCAGGCTCTGGATCGCGTGAAAGCCCTTGAAGTAGTCGCAGTGCTCGACCTCCTGCGTCACGTTGCACCGACCTCGAGCCAAGATGAGACGACGTACGCGCTGGAGGACATCGAGGATGGCCTCGGCGCTAGCTGCGCCGTGCACCGTGTAGCCGTGCGCCCAGTTGTTGCCTACAAGAGCGCGCTCGCGAGAACAGTGTGCGATCGACGTGCAGCGTACCCGAGCCGCTCTGCTGGCACACGCTGTTGGTGCGGTCGTACTGCCAGCGCCCCGACGCCGCCGCGCGGTCCTGGCATTGCATGACCACCTATGCTTCTGTGAGGTATGCGTTCACGCATGTGTGTCGTCGTGGACCTTGGGCTCCATGTCGATGAGCACGGCCCGCGCCGTGTGCGACGGCCCGCGGAAGAAGATGTCCATCTCCAGCGGGTCCTCGAGCTCGGTCGCTAGCTTGTCAAAGAGCGCATAGCCCTACGGCAGATGCGTACGCCATGTGCGCAGCGAGCGACGACGTACGAGCTGATTGCCGCATTGCCCGAGCTGCAGCGTCACGATCGACATGGTGCTCGGACAGCTCGGACAAATCAATGGGTTTTACACTGTTTGGTGCGAGGTTAAAAGGTTTTTGGACAAAACGTGGGTTAAACGGTGGGGTTGAACGGAATGACGCAGGTTGAACAGGTTTAACGTACTTGGTCCTCCCAGATGCGATCTTCCGCTGTCAACTCGAGTCCATCGAGTCGGTGATACCCTGGGGCAGACGTTGCAGCGGATGCCAATGGTAATAGCAAATATGTATAGGATAAGACCGTTCTCAATCTTATCCTGTCGATGCATTCGTAGCCTAAATATCCCAACACGCCAAGCGGACTCATGCCATCAAGGCAGCGTGGCAGAGCAGGGCGAGCGGCGACGTATCGCTGTCGTGGGCCTCAGTCGCCGCCTTGCGCTCGAGTCGCTTTTGCTTGATAGCGTCGCGGTTGCGGCGGTACCATTCTTGCTTGTACTCGCGCTGCCGGTCGCGGTGCTTGTGTCGATACGCTTTCATCTGTTGCAGCCGCTTCTCTCGGTTTATCGCGTCGTAGCTGCGCTGCTTTTGGAGGCGCTCGCACCGGTGCTGTTGGTACCACTCGCGCTCGAGCTCGCGCCGGCGGAGCGTCTTGTGGAGCACAAGGTCGCATCGTAGGCCGTCGTCGCAGCTCATCGAGACTTGTCAACTGCGGCTCTGCCGACAGTGTTTTGCGATCTTGAAACGGACATGGCCGTTGCCGATGCATGTCAAACCGCCACCGCGCTTTCTTCTAGTCGGTTCTGTCGTTCTTAAATTCTGCCTATCCATTCTTTTAAGCATTCACCTTGTCGTGGACTCTCTGTGGTTGACGCTCGACAACCGACAGGACATTTTCCGAAAAGAAGACACAGATTGTGATGGAGCGTGGGCGAGGGGCTTTCGTTCTTTTATTCTTTCTTTTAAACATTAAAGAACGGTCGCGAAACGACGCTCGCACAGCTAAAAAGGGATGAAACGCTGGCCGTACCTCGCGCTCTTCTTCGCCAACGCGGTCGTGGCCGCGCTGCTGGCGACCTACGGACAAGGTTGTCCATCTATCGAATGACAATATGTACTACTGACGATATTGACGCTAGATCTGCTGCAAAAATCGCCAGCGATCGGGCACTGCGACGTCCGCGCCAACGCCCACTGCCTCGGCCAACAAACCATCTACCGGTACTTTGCGGCAAGAGTCCATAGGCGACACTATCTGGTGCTAGGGCGAGTGCGACGATCGCGGTCTTCTTCCTCGTGCTCATGCTGCTGAGTGGGCTCTACGAACACCGCGCATTTCGGAGCCGCCTCGTGCTCGGCTGCCAACTGCCCGTGTACCTCGGTGCACTCACCGGCGCCTTCTTCCTCCCGAATGGTACCATCCTACTCCTTTACGCAGAAGACACGTTGTGTTCCTAGAGGTCTTTGACGCCTACGCCTACATTGCGGCCGTGCTCTCGGGCCTCTTCATCCTCATGCAAATCGTCATCCTCCTCGACTGCGTCTGTACGACGCCACTTTGATGCGATCCGACCGTCGTCCTGACGCAACTTGCGTGTGCGTAGACCACGTACGCGACAGCCTCCTCAACCGCATGCAAGATCCCAAAGCGCCCCGCTCGTGGCTCTGGTAGAGCGCTGACACGTTTCGTTATCTGTAGTACAGGTGCATAGGCCTTGTGTCTACCTCGGCCTCTCGGTCACGGGTCTGGGCTTGGCTGTGCTCGGTCTCGTCGTTCTGGTACGTCGCACAATCTGAAATCTGGGAAGCGTGAAGAATTTGGTGAGGGTAGTTTTACTACTACGCCGCCTCGCCCCTCGGGCTCGGCTTTCTCATTGGGACCTGTGTCTCGATTCTGGTCGTTGTGCTTCTCAGCGGTAGGCTGTGTCGAGCTGTCACATTTGCAAAGCGTTTTCAACGAATAGTGGCCGACCGGGTTGGCGCGGGTCTCTTGCCGCCCGCCGCCATCGCGCTCTACCTCGTGTACCTTCTCTGGCAGACGCTGCTCTTGCTTCCTGATGTTGAACCGGCCTTTCTCCAAGGCGGGAGCCGAGCGAGTACCATTTCGATTCCAAGCACCATCATTGCCGCACTGACCGTCTCCTACACGGGGTACGGCATGCCGACACACGAATGTGTCTACGATGCGACGCAGGTGGCGAACGTCGTGCGCTGCGTCGTCCATCTTTCGCTTGGAGCTCCCCGAAGCCCCAACAGAGGTGCTATCTTAGCCTATCTTAGTGTGGTACGAGCGACACGTAGACAGCGTTGGATCCCGTCTGCGCCGAAGCGGGCCGCCGTGTCGTCGACATTGAACCGCAGATCATGGCGCCGAGCTGGCAGTTCCACTGCATCATGCTCTTTAGCGGCCTCTACATGGCCATGGCGCTCACCAACTGGGGCGTCGGCACCGGGTATCACCTTTGTATCAAGTTGATACATGTATCGATCGAGGTGTAGGGAGAGCGACACGCAGCGCGTGAGTATGTGGGTGCAAATCGCATCGCAGTGGGCGACGACCCTCCTCTTCACATGGACGCTCCTCGCGCCGCTCGTGCTTCCCGACCGCGATTTCTCTTAACTAACAGAGCTGATTGCAAATGTTGACCTCGAGTAGAAATAGCTAGTGGCATGAACGCCACGTCAGTAAGCAGGGTGGCAATATGGCGCTTGCGCTAGACGGGCGAGATCATGCCCCGTTCAATGAGGTCGGGCACTTCAGCAGCCAGCCACGGAGCGAGCTACACAAAGCGTATTGGCGCTGGCAACGAGAACGGACGTACGCCAAGGGCGAGTGCGTGGGCGATGCCAAAGCGGGGTACGTTTCGCTGCCAGAGCGGCTCAAAGTGAACTGTGAGGCAGATCTTGCCGCCCCTATCGCTGCCTCGGAACCAGGTTCTCGGCGGACCGACGAGCGCACCGGTACATCTTGGCTGTCTTGCCGTCCAGCTCGGGCAAGCTACGACGCACATGAAGACCGAGACACACGGTAGCTCGATCGCACCAGATCTCGGGGTTGGTCACGGGGTAGGTGGCTGGAATCTCAAACTCCATCTCAAACTCGTATCTACGCCATATAGAGATAGATAGCATCGAGCGTGGCGACGCACCGCAGGCCATTGTGGAACGACCAGCACGTGCCCGTCCAGCTACACGAGCCATGAGGTCCCGTTAGCGTGAAGCCACGTACTGTGTGCCATTGGCATTGGACGCGATCGTAAACCAGTCGTTGTCCGCCGCCTTGTTCATTTGCACATACTAAATCGCACCCGTCGCATCCGACCAACGTAGTAGCATGGCCTGCCTGGATGAGCGCCGTGTACTCCTCTTTTAGGCGCGCGATCCACGCGTCGCCGTCGCGCGGGCCTGCGCGTGTCGTCAGCAGCGGCAGCTTCTGCACCGTGCGCTTCGTGCCATCGGCGATCGGCGAGTCCATGCTTATTGCGATCTGCCAGCGTATCCGGACATCCTCTCCGGATACAGGGCAGGCTAAACACACGCCACATTTCCATCTTGCCGCCACAAGCCCGACCCAAAATGCACAATGGCGGCGATGCGATGTCGACCGTGGGCATAGCGTAGGGTGTAGTATTATGGGCGTATGCAAATGAGGAGGACGGAACTACATCATGCGGATCTCGAGCTGGTTGAGGCGTTCGTTGGTGCCAAGCGGCAGGCGGACGTTGATCATGCCCGTGAACGAGACGACGGCCTTGGCCTTGGCACGGAGCTGCTGGCACATTTGCTTTTGTGTCTCGAGGTCCGAGATCGACTGTTTCCAGCGCTTCATCTCTTCGACGAGGCACTCCATGTACCCAAGCAGCACAAGGTGCAAGTTGCGCTGCACTTGGGCGTCGAGGTCCGCGAACCGGTCCGCGCTCGCCTGTTCGCTGCCCTACACACCATCGGGTCAGGTCCGCTTCCAAAGACGAGAGGTCGACATACTGGCGCCGGCACGATCGCAAGCGCTTCGACAAACGCGAGGCCGTCGCTGTACTTTTTGCTGTCGAGGATCTCGAGGAAAAGCCCAAAGTTCATGAGCGTCTGGAACGCATGCGCCGCGACGCGCGCTTGGTTGAGCACGATCTCGAGTGCCCACGCCGACCGGAGCCACGTGTCGGCAAACGTCCGCGCGTGGTTGAGCCACACTTGGCGGTCCGGCGTCGAAAGCGTCGCCGCCAGCTGGGCGTTCAACAATACCATGGTGCTCTGGACATCGCCGGCCAGCGTGAGGAGCTTGAGCGCATCCGAGGGTCGACCTTGGTCAGTCGCCATGTGCGACGTGTAGAGCACAATGTCGCGGACCTCGTTGCGGTCGAGGTACTGGTCGAGCGCACCGGGCGTCCGGGATGCATCCGAGGGGTGCGTCGTGCCGCCAAGGACCTCGAACGCAAGCGTATCGAGGAGCAGCGTCGCACTCAGAAGACGGCGGTCATCGAGCGACTGGTGGCAGGCAATGTACATGGCCGCTTCCTGCGGGTTGGAGCGCTGGAACGAGTGCACGTACTGCCGCAAGAGGCGCGTAAAGAGGCTGTGGTTGGGGAAGAGGCCGACGTGGTGGAGCGCCAAGGCAAAGTGCACGGCCTCGACAAGATACCCTTTCGCCGCGAGCGACTCGACCGCCGTGTCAAACTGGCCGCAGACAAGCAGGAGGCGGACGTACTCAAAGACGCCCGAGATCGTCGTGTGGTTAAAGTCGGACGGCGAGATGAGCGTCACGACCTTGGACGCGATCGCGCTTGGCGAGGCTTCTGACGCGTGAGCAAACCACTGCAGTTGCCAGAGAAAGTCTTCAATGTTCTCCATGACGCCGGCCTGGCGCGCAAAGGCGTCGTGGAAGCTCAGGAGGTTCAACACCGCGACTTGAAATTTGTCGACAGCCGGGTCCACGGCCAGGAGAAGCGTCGCCAGGTGGTCGCACTCGTCCCGCATCGCGGCCTTGGTGGGTGCCGAGACGGGCTGCTTCTGGACAATGCTCTGCAGCGCGTTCTAGACAAAGAGCGTCGTGAGAGAAGGATATTGGACAGGACGGACAGACCTTGACGTGCTGGAGGAGCTTGGTCGAGGCCGGCGCCTTGCTGAGCGCGTCGTCGACAAGCGAGAGCGCATCGCTGGCAATGCCTGTCCGAAGGCAGTAGTAGACGTCGCTCCAGAGGCTTGTTGTGCGCAGAACGTGGCGCGTGTACGTCTGCACGAGTGCCTTGACGCCGGGGACACCACCACGCGGCGCCTGCTCCTGGCGGATCCGGCTCTCGATAAAGAGGCGGTATCGGAGCTCAAAGTGGGTCTGTGCGCCGCCCGCGAGCGACTGGAGCAAGGACGCGTCCTGCGACGCAAACGCAGACTGGAGTGAGAGCTTGGCCGGCGCGCCCCGTTCAAAGTTGACCATGTGATGAAGGAGCTCCCAGCTGCAGAGCGTCTCTTGCTCGAGCGTCGACGCCGACGCCGTCGCGACAAGGCTCTGTGCGCTCGTCTCGAACGCCTGGAAGACGTCCCCCGACGTCGCGGCCGCGCGGGGCACGAGCTTCTGCGTGACCGTCGCGTAGACCTTCATCGCTTCCGTCATCGTGCTCGGGATGTTCTGAAGAGGCGCCGGCATCGGCGTGGCCGTGAGCCCGACGACAGACGGAGGCACGGACGTCGACGGGGACGGGCGCGGGTACGCGAGCGGCGCCTGGCGGCCTTGCAGATACGCCATGAGCTTCGTCTTGGACGTCTGGAACTCATCGTGGAGCGTGTTGAGCGCGTTCTGCTGCGCGGCCCGGGTCGTCGCCGCCATGGTCTCTTCGATCGCGGTCACAACGATCATGTCGTGGTGGTGGCGCAGGAATCCGTCAAGGTCGCTCACACCGACGAGCGTGTCCCGCGGCTCGTACGCCGCCTTGAGCTCACTCTGACGGAGCTCGCGGCTAAGCTTCTCAGCATCAAAGCCCCGGCCGGCCAAGAGGAACTGCGCCTTGTTGCTCGAGAAGGCGGCGTCGGTCGGTGGGCCCGCCAGCGACTTGGCGCTCGTGACCGCGTGGAGCTGGTCGAGGCTGCGCTGGAGGGAGGGGAGCTGCTCCATGCCCCGCGTGAGCTGCAGCGAGTTCTGGTACAAGCTCTCGAAGTCGAGCTTGGGCTTCTTGGACGCATGCTCGGCCGCGCCCGGAGCCTCGCTCCGCGTCGTCGTACTCATGGGTTGGCTGGCAGGGATTTTATATGGCCGCAATTGAAAACAATAGCATTTTAGCCAATCCAAGCGATCCAAAGTGCACATACGACATCTCATTGGCCAAAATCGCATGTCGAGGTCGTTTTGCGTATGCGGATCCGGATAAAGACCTCCCGCCACAACGATCTTGGCGCTTTCACGCCACGTCAGGCATGCCCGCGACCTTGGTCGTCGTGACCCAGCGGAATGCGACCTGTTTTACGCATTAGAAAATGCCAATACGTTATCGTGCAACGAAAGACAATATTCCGCGCGGACTGACGTTTCTCTCAGCCGGCGCTGCCAGATACCGCACACTGCCGTGTGCGGGCGCTGGGCTCTCAAAGTGCGTGTCCCTTGGCGCTCGCCACTACCGGTCGGGAAGGGAATTTGTCCTTATCAGCTTGACGACAAACCGTGGGGCGTCCAAATCTTCGAAGGTTGAAGTTGCTTCGCGCCTTCTTTTTCCTGCGGTCGCGCTCGGATCGGGCTCTCTCGGCCCTAGTATACCTCGACCCACTTGTTCGATTCGAATACACGACCCGCTGTGCCCTTTGGGTTGCGCTCCTTCTGTATGCACTCGAGCATTCGCCGTCCACTGGACCCATGACGTCGCCCTTCTTGACGGTCGAGGACATCAAGATGTGCTTCTCCATCTTTTGCTGCGTCTGCGGCGTCGGGTCGCTCGGCCTCGCTGGCAACTATGCGAGCGCTGGCTACGCGTGGGCGACGATCGCGTTTGTCTTTATGGCGGTCGCCAACACATATGCGACGTGGTGTATCTCCAAGGTGCTCCTCGTCGCGCCGCGCACGGTGTTTACCTTTGGCGACGTCGGCGAGTGGTGCCTCGGCGTGCCCGGGCGGTATGTCACCATCGTTTCGCAGTGCCTTCTCTGCACATTGCTGCCGATCGTGTTTCTCGTACTCGGCGGCTCGCTGCTCGTGATCCTCTTCCCAAACTCGTTTTCGCATACGACGTGGATCATCTTGATGGCGGTCACACTTCTTCCGGTCTGCCTCGTGCCGACGATGAAGGAGGGCGCGGGCATGGCGGCGGCGGGCTGCTTGGGCACTGTCTTTGCCGATTCGATCGCGCTGTACCTTCTCATTGTCAACATGCACGATGTCAACCCAAGCGGCATCTCGCCGCCGTCGCCGGCCGTCGACTTTAAGAGTGTCACGACTGTCTTTGGGAACCTCGCGCTCGCGTATGGCGCGTGCATTATCATTCCGACGCTGCAGCACGAACACACCCAGCCCGAGCGCATGCCCCGGCTCATCTTGGTGGCCCAGACGCTGATCTCCATCTTCTTCTTTCTAGTCTCGGTGCTCGGTGTCTTCTCAACGGGCTGCCAAACACCTGGGAACCTCCTCTTTGCGATTGCGAGCTCCAACCTCGGCTTCACCGCGGACCGCGGCCTCGTGATTCTCAGCTTCATCTTTATGCAGCTCCACGTCACGATCGCGTTCTCGGTCATTTTCTTTCCCGTCTTTCAGATCCTCGAGCGCCTCTGCTTGGGGCTGCACGGGGACGCGCCGCGGACGTCGACGGCGCACAACCTCATCATGGAAACCCCCGTCATGGACGGGCTCCAGGGCACCGGGTTTGGCAACGACAAGGTCCACCGCGAGGTGCATGATGCGTATGCTGCGCCCGGCGCGTACCTGAAAGCGGCCATTTTGCGCACGATCATGGTTTGCGTCTGCGTCATTGTCGCCGTCGCGTGGAAGGACCACCTCGGCGCGCTCATGGACTTTGTCGGCGCGTCGACATCCTCGCTCATCAACATGATTCTTCCGATCCTCTTTTACCTCAAGACGTTTTGGCCGACCGTCTCGCTCGGCGAGAAGATCTTTGCCGTCCTCTGCATTGCCATCTCGTGCTTCCTCGCCGTGTACGTTTCGATCCAGACCGGAAAAGAGCTGTTTGCGCCGGAAGCTGCCAACCCTCTCGTCCTCTTCCCCAAGTGCCCTGCCGAGTACCAGCGTGTGGTCTTTACCAACACGAGCTACTACGCCCGTCCATTGTAGACGCGCTATAATGTACGTGTATATAAATCGATACAAACGATATACCTGTTTTGTACATTCCATTTCTTTGAAAACGAGAATGCAAGTGTCATTGTCACATGCGACGCACGACGAGTCGGCGCAATGACTTTCCACCCTTGTCCACAAACTCCATACTTGATAGACTGATACACTTCACTATTATGGAGTTTGCTAAGCTAGTACTCGGAGAGCAGTACAGCGCGACAAATGCACAAGGCATTAGATCATGTCCTCGTCGTCGACCTCGGGCAGTGGCGCGCTCATGGCTGCCACATAGTCGACCTCGAGCCGGGCCAGCATCGTGACGTCCAACTCGAGCGCTGGGGGTGCGATCGCAATCGCGTTCACAAAGGTCACGGTGTCATCGCCAACGATTTTGCGCACGAGATGACAAAAAGGTTTCTCGAGTTGGTAGTTGGCCTTGACGGAAATGTCATAGTACTGAAGGTTCTTCTGTCGGTGGAAAGTGATTTGCTTGGGCTTGACATCGCGGTGCTGGACATCGTCGACCTTGTTGCCACAGAGGACGATTGGGATGTCTTCGCAGACGCGGACAACGTCGAGGCGCCAGTTGGGCACGTTCTGGTACGAGAGGCGCGACGTGACGTCAAACATGATGATGGCGCCATGCGCGCCGAGGTACGAGCTGTCGCGATAGCTCTGACCGGCAATGTCCGAGCAGTTGAGCCGGAGCGGTCCAAAGATGGTCTCGAATCGGAGCGTGTGGGCCTCGGTATTGGGCGTGGCGGTGTACGCCTCCTTGAACTTGCCCGTCAAGTGGCGCTGTAGGAGGGCCGACTTGCCGACGCCGCTATCGCCAACGAGGAGCAACTTGAATTCCGCGACTGGCCACATATTGGGCGTCTTGAGCAATGGACTTGGAAAACGATTTGGAAACGTCCGTGGAAAAACGTCAGCATCTGACTGATGGTCTTGTTTGCATGAGACAAGATGTCTGAATGAGAGAATGATGGTCGAAAGGGCATCTGAGATCCCTTGTGCTGACGCCCTAATAAAATTATGTAGCACTATTGCACAAGTACGCAGTCTCCAATATCGACCCTCGTCAGTTGGACACCAACAAGTTCATCCCAGCTGGTACACCTGTATATTTTTATGGCCTTGCCTGTACTATTGCTGAAGTGCACACTCTGTACATGTAAATGCCTCCATATTAAAGATCCTCGTCCTCGTCAGGAAGCGGTACATTCGCGGCGGCCATCATGTCGGCCTCCAGACGAGCGATTTGCGCCGGATCCATAAAGATTGCCATGGGGGGAACATAGTGCGAAGGAGACTCCATGAACTTCACATTGTCGTCCCCAACGAGCTTGCGCGCGAGCCAGAGCAGTGGCGTCTCGATGTTGTAGTTGGCCTTGACCGACATCTCGAC